AGCTCCAGGAATTCGGCCAGGACCAGCCGCCCCCGAGCGCGGCGGCGCCCTCCGCTTCCCCCCGCCCCGCATCTGCATCTGCATCTGGTCCTCCCGCTCGCCCGTCCGGAGGGCGCTTCGCCAGAGCGCGGCCGTCCACGTGCCGTCAGCAAACGCCGGTCTGGCTCTCGGAGCAGGATCTTCTCCGGCGACGGTTGGTGAGACTCGGTATTGTCGAACTCTGACCTCGAAGGTCGGCCAGGACCTCGTCTGAAGGTTTCCTCGGCTTTCTCCGCCGAGCTGCCCTCTTCGATCTGGGGTCGGTTTTCCTCCTGCAGCCGCGCCCGGGGCCGTGCCTACGGCCCGCAGGGGTCTTGGCGACGTGAGCCTAACCCTAACCCTAACCCGGGCCTCTGGTCGTGCAGCCCGTGCCCTTAACGCGCTTGGCCGCTGCCCTCTTCCTCGGACAGCGCTGCCTCCACTCTCCCGCCCCGTTCACCGCTGCCCACAGCAGCAGAAAACGCCCGAGCGCTTTCCCCATTCAAATGGCCTGCGGTTGAAGACGGCGGTGATGCTAAGGAAAGCAAACGCTCTGCGCGAGACGGCTGGGTCCCATTAACGCCTTTTAACTTCTGAGGGTACCAAGGCTACGTCTGTGTCGCGTTCATTTATTTTACTTTTTGCAAGGGTACATTAAGTCATACATCTGCCTGTCCCATCCGATCCGGCAGAGAAGGGATGCTGCGGATCCCGTTTGGCGGGCCCTGCGAGGCGGGCCTTCTCTGCCCTGGCGCCCGCCTTGTGTAATCCCCCCCCAGAAGTGAGATGAGCTCCATTCCGTAAGTCCCTCAAGGCCTGGCCATGCGATCAGGCCTGGGGCTCCCAGGGGACTGGGGAGATTTTACGATGGCTCCCTCATTAATTTTATCCCCTCCCGTTTTGTGTTTTTACAATTTATGTGTACTTGTTTTTATGTATTTGTTTTTAATTGTTGTACGCTGCCCAGAGTCCCCTTGTGTGAGATGGGTGGCTATATAAATATGGTAAACAAATTCAGTCAGTCATACATCAAAAGCACGTCTGCTCTACGGAATTAAGAATGATGGGTGCCATTGTCTTGTGTCAGTTTCAACTTATTTCAGGGCAAATGGGGATTTTTTGGGGAAAAGTGGAGGGGCACCAATACTTTCAGTTGCATCTGTAGTTAAAGTTGTAATTAAAACTTCTCCAAGTTACATATTCTGGGGTTACACTTGAATCATGCTTTATATCAAGCACTTGCTCTCACAATATACCCTCAACAAGGAATGGACTGCATACTAGATGAAGAAAGGGGACATCTGGAAAGGTGTTTTGGGAAACAGCTGATGATTTGTCAGCAAGGAATCCAGGCAAAGCAGCTTTGTCCTTCATCACCTATGACCACCTTAAAAAGAAACCCCTCTACCCCTTCCTCAACAGCCAGGTCTTGACATCTCTTGGAAATGCTGAGGAAAGAGGCTCTTTTGACCATGGGCCAGTTACTCATGGGAGGGGCCCCTCCACCCCCCTGCCTCCCTTGAGGTATGGCAGGGAGCCTCAGCAGGCAGCTTCTACCTAGAATAGGCCCCAAGCCACACAGAGCATCCTGGGGAACGAGCAGTGCTTTGAATTGTCCCTGGGGCCCAACTGGCAATGCGCCAGCAGTGTGGCAAGACAAGGCAGGCCCCCACTCCTGCAGCCAAGGCTTCCGGGGGTGGGGGTCTTCGAGGGCAAATTCAGCAACACTACTGCAGGTGACCTGGCTCCTCCTGTTCCAGGAATGGCTGCAATCGGGCAAAGGCCTTCCTGGCCAGGGCATCTAACTGCCAGCGCAAGCTACGAGGCCAGGAGGGCCCCATCCAGAGACGAAGTTGTGCTGTCGCAGACGCAGCAGGATTCTGAGCAGACAGCCCTTCTGCCTTGTGGGGTTTATTTCTGAGCCTGCTTCCCCCCACCCAGGCACCGCATCCCCCCCTTGGCCCAGGAGGCATAACCCAGCATCAGCTGATCATCCCTTGCCCCAAACCAACGGGTTACCTCCCTCTCCCCTGGCTTGTGGCAACAGTTCAGGGAGAGGATTAATACATGGGGCACTCAGGGCTCAACCTCTCCTTCCCCATAACTGCTCTTTGGAGTCTTCACAGACAACCCCAAAAGACACCACAGTCAACGGCGTCCAGAGCTGCGAGGGTCCCCCCCGGCCAAGGCCACCCATGAGAGGGAAGCCAGCACTGGGACACGCAGAGCTTCAGCCCAGCCGCAGGGGCTAAGGGAGCAGGCAGTAACGAGGGCAGGGGGAAAGCAGCCCCACTGAAACCGCTTGCCAAAGCCACCCCTGAACACTCCTAGTTTGTCCTCAGAGAGCTCCCTGTCAGTAGGAAATGCTAAGGAAGGAGCAAGGAGGCCATCTTGGGCTTCTCAAGCCAGTTTCAGGGTATCTTTAATGTAGATGACAAATCATTTTCCTGCAGGCTGACCGACTTAAGCAGAACCGCAAGCTATCAGCCACTTTTTCCAGCAGTCTGTGCAAATGGAAGAGTAGGGTGGCTCCCGCTTCTGTCTGTCTTGGGAAGGCACAGCCTCCAAAAAGGCAAGATAAAATGTCTGCCACCGTTGCCTTCTCCCGAGTCCACACAAGCACCAGGGTCCTGTCCTCTCCTCCCCGTTATTACAGGGCTCAAGGGGAATGGAGCCACAGACTTCTGGCACTTTCCCAAAGCTGCTGCTGCAAGGGGAGCTGCCCCAAGGGGCTCCCACCTCACACAATAAGATACATCCTTGTTGTTGAACCCGCTGCTGCCCTAGAAATCACAAGGTCATCCAAGGCTCAGCCTCAGTAGAGTTTGGACGCCTGTACCTCCTCTCGCTGCCTCCCTGCCCGTAGGCACCTCGGAACAGGCTGGCCAAGCCAAAAGTGCGGACGCCTCTCTTCCAGACCAGAGAGGCCCTCTCGGGTGACTGCCAGGCACCAATTGTCCTCTTCCACCAAAGGGCGATGGAACTATGCTGGCATCTCCTGGAGGAGCAAGTTCTTTTTGTAACAATCCAGGCTGCAAAGGGGGATCCCAGTGCGGGAACAGGAGTACCTCCTGAGGTTGGTGCAGCCAAGGACTCCACAAGGGATGGGTGGAGGCACAATGGCAGGGAGAGAAGGCAACATAGGCAGGGAAGCCCCAGGTGGGAAGGAGACCGTGATCCCACTAGCAGCACTGCGGTAACACACCGTAGGGACTGCCACGCCTTTGGCCTTGCGCTCACGCAGCGTTTTCACTTTGGTTTTGCTGGTCTTGGTGAGGCGCTCGATGGTTTGGTTCTTGTTCTCCTCGGCCTTTTTGGCAGCCTGGAGCCGCCGTTTACGAGCCCGTTCTTCTCGCTTTACCAGCATCTCCTCTGTCAGCTCCTTGGCCTTGTACCCCATTGGCAGCTCCAGCAAGGGCTGGCTCTGTTGCTTGTGCAAGAGGGCTTTCTGTGGGCAGAAAGAGGGGAAGGGGGTGGCTGACAACATCTGTTCAGACCCAGAGGCAAGAAGAAGGCCTGAGGACCTTTTGGGATCAGCAGCAGCCAGGAGGAGCTAGAAAAACTATGTCATCATAACAAAGGTTCTTCCCCTAAACCCAGCTGGAGATGGTAAGTGTCCTCCTTGGCTGTGTACCCTACATCCTTGCCTCTATGGGCCCAACCCAGATCTGATGCCCCCTCCACTCTTAGAACTGGCAGCTAGGTTTTTTGAGGCTGATGGGGGTATAGATCAAACATGGACAGGAAGACCACCCTAATGTTCAGAAGGAAAGAGGCTATCTTCCTGCATCATCCTGGGTGGGCTTGGCTAGGGAAGAGCCATCTGCCTGGCTCCAAGGAGGCAGAAAAGCACGCACAGCAGAGTAAAGTGGCTGTGGATCCCTGCCAGTCTTCCCTTCCCTTAGCTGGGCTCACTTATACTACCACGGATGAAAGGTCTATTGACCACCTAGCCACCTTCCTGCATCGGGCCCTAGTTCCTCACCTGCCGGGCAGTGAGCAGGGACTCATCCACCTCTTTTTTCAGCTCCCCATTGTCATCCAGCTCCCCCCGCTCCAGGGCATCTAGCCATCGCTGCTCCTCTTCTTCCTCCCGTGCTGGGAAGCCTATTTCTGGGTCCAGTTCCGGCAAGGGGGATGGCTCCAGGTTGCTGTCTTCATCTGTGGGGGTGTGAGGAGAGTTTGCCTTTAGTCTGGCCAGTGAGGTGGAACATCTTCTCTGTTGACACTAGCTAATTTGTGCGCTGACGTTTAATTTATAGTTTGCAGGATGGGTACCAAGGAACAAGAACACTAAGGGAAACAACAGGATGGCAACAATTGTTTGAGAAAGCTTATTAAGAAAACAGCCCCAGCGCCAGCACCAGTGGGCCTGAACGGTGATAACGGTCTCTGGAATTCAACTCACCAAGGGGTTGCTTTCACTGGGCACATTTTATAGCCCTTCAACCTCTCTCTCCCCCTCCACCTCCAGAGTTCCTTCATTTTAGGTGTCAGCAAGCAAAGGTTACATATTTGTGAGGATTAAGTGTCGAGCAGGTATTGGGCACCTGCTACGGCAAAAGAGGGAAATAACAATTATCGGACTGGGGTTAGACCTGGAAGTTTTATCTCACGGCTCGTAAGAGTAAATAGGAAGAGATCCCTGGTCTAAGCAGCCTCTCATCCAGGCCCCGCGGGTCAGTCACAGGACAGCCGCGGAGGCAGATTCTGACCCGGAGGGGCCGCAGGCCCACCATGGAGAGACGCTCCTGAATACGGCTTCCGTTACTGCTCGCCGCCCAGCCCTGTGCGAGCCGGGCAGAGAAGGCCGCGACAAGGCCTGTTCCCTCCCCTCCCCGAGTGGGCACTAAGGGCCGGGGACGCGAGGGGCACCGCTCGCTCACCAAGGCACGCTCGATACTGCTCGATGGGCACGCCTTCCATGGGCTCCTCCTCGTCGTCGGCCGCCATCAGCGGGGAGGGGGACCGAGGCCTCTCGGGGATCACGGTAAAGGTTGGGACGCTGCAAGCGGGAGAGCAGGGCGGTTAACGCCG